GAACTCATATTCATTTTGATTTCATCATACCTTTCAATCACGAGTTGAGTTTAATCCGTCTCTAATCCTCACTTTACCTCACAAACTCCATGGTGGCAAAATCTGTACTCAAGACAGACGCATTTGTGTTTCTTTCGGTGGCAAAGACTCTTCAGTCGCCTGCCTGATAATAACCCATCTGTCTGCACTGTATGTCTCTGCCTTCACAAAACCGCAGGACACGCGTGCACACGAAAACACGCGCAAGCGCGGAGAGCTCAAGAGCTTTCCTCTTCCTGTTTACACCTTCATCCATTATTCATGCCATCCGCCAGTTCCTTTACATGCACATGTGCAAGATCGCACACATACGCAGATGTCTCACAACTGGGGGTTGCAGAAGCAGAAGAAGAAGGTAAAAGCAGGGTTTTAATAATTCACTTTCGCATTTATGCTGTTTTGTGTTGTTTCCATGGCTCTAATGTTGTCTTTGTAGTAGATCCTAACAATAAAACCATGTTGCTGCATGGAACCTTTTGTACTAAAACTCTGTGCACATGACAAACTGCATGTCTATCCTTCCTGGAACTGGATGCCTTCTCTGTTGTTCTACCTGAGCTTTTTCCCTTTGCATTCCATTAAAAGGTATTTATGGGAGTTCTCTTTCCAAATTGAGGGTGCAGTATCCTGTACAGATGGCAAGGTCATTCCCCATGTTGGACTACAGCTGTGTCTCAGTTCAGGGGCTGCAGCCTTTGAAGGATGCGAAATAGGACAGTCTGGTCTGCGAAGGATTTGCTGGTTGCATCACCAGTTGTTTTCGCCCAGACCCATTGGCGTTCCTGTTACCTAGCAACCAGCTGCACTTGACGAAAGAAAGAGTGAGCTATAAGTTAGTTTGCCCTAAATCATGGACCCAGAGATTCCTGTTATGTATTTTTTTTTTATTGAATACTTGAGGAGATGATTCTCTACTGAAGACTCTGCCATTTGATATATATCAGGCTGATGGAGGACTGTTTTCAGGTAAACTTATCAAATCAAGATCGTTTAAGCTGTGTGCTTTAAACTAATAGTTATGTTAACCTGTAGCTGCTTACAACTGTTAATTAACTTAACTTAATATAAAATTGTTACCCGTGTGCAATGCATCTTGGGATAGGCTGGGCCATGAAGGATTTATCCATTGCATCCTGCAAATTCTGGGAAAGAAGGCTGCATTACTCAACCGCATTTGAACGAGCCTTTGAAATGGGACAGCCTTGGTAGCGCCGATGTGACACAATGTTCTTCTTCTCAACATTAGTCACTCAATTTGTGCTTAACAATTAAGCCAATTATCATACAAACTTAAAGGCTGTAAAATGTAAGATTAATTTCCAGTAAAAGTGAGTCCACTATACAGAGGCCGATGCCAAGACAACATGAAATACAAATTAACTGGCGGAACAATGGTTAAAAGATCAGTTATGTATTGTACCACAGTAATGGCCATTACATGGTACAATACACGTTTGATTCTTGTTCAGTTTCACAGTTTAAGTGTCCTCATTTCACCTAACAGCAATGGCACCGTGCAATAAGAGAACGGTGCCAACTAGCTGTTGTTGTGCATGTCTGCAGACAGAGGGAATGCAATGAAGGCTATTATGAGAATTTAATGATGTTTATGCGCTGTGTGTGTGCGCGTGTGCATCCGTGTTTGTATGCAAGTCTTGGCTGGCAGAGGGCAGCTTTTACTGTAGTTAAACTGCTGGCAGGTTTTAGTTTCATATTCTCTTTCTTCTTGCAGTTCTTGGACCAGTTCCCTCTCTCTCTCGCTCTTTCTCACAAACACACACACACACACACACACACACACAAACACACTCACACATACACTTTCGGTCACTCTCCATCTTTGACCTTTTCTCTATCGCTGTCTCCACTCCACACCCCTACCCTTTAGGCTATTTGAGTGTCTCTCCACACGCTTACATGGACATGCACTCATTCTCTGTAACTCACTTGTTTTTCTCCCTAGTTCACCCTTAAGGCAGAGTGGACCGTCACAAACAGTATTTAAAAGTAGCAAAATACTATTCTGGTATTCTATTTATGGGCAGATAGCTTGGCTTGACTTGTCGAGCATGTCAGCATGAGCGGCGGGGAGAAATTATGGTATGGAGTAAAACAACTCTCCCAGCTCCTATTGGAGCCAGGTGAGTCACTCCTTTCCTCGCTGCACAGACATTCCCGTCTCTGTCATTCTCCTTCACTCATGCTCTTTTTTAAATCCGTATCATTACATACTTCCTCCCTCTCTCTTTCTCTCTTTCTCTCTAAAGGCTGAATAACAGAAGCTCTTAAAGATGAGGAGCAGTGCAGCAGAGGTATATAACAGTGAACAGAAGGTAAGAGGGAAAGAGACAGGATATAATGAAGGAGGGTGTGGAGGAGGCAGCGGGGGTGTGGTGTGGAAACATAGAGGATGAAGAGATAGAGGGGAATGTGAAGTAAATAAAACGATATAGGCAGAGGAGGGACCGTAAATGACGACGAGGCTTCCAAATCGCCTCCATGCCGGTGCCCTGTGGTGTCCACTTGTCATCGTACAGCCCCCACACTGACAACATTTTCTCTCCGTGCAATATTCCCACACATCCCAAACACTAAAGGAGATGTTTAGTTCTTTTTTTATACTTTAAATGTCTCTACATTTATTCCCTCCTCTGCTGCCCCTTGATTTATTTCTTTTCAGTTCAGCTCAGTTTTTCAAAGCTCTCTTTAGTGGGCAGTTTGTTAATTTTTAACAAGGGGGACGGACTCGACTTTTATCCCACTTCTCTGATTGTTGTCTTTTGTCTCTTCTCCTGTGCGTTTATCTCACTCACTCGAGATGCACTCATGAACTGTAAAAATTATGGATGTGGTTCCTGTGACATTACCCAGTGGTTTGTGTACTCTGGTTCTGAAGCCTCGAATCTGGCATTTCAGCTGTTGCCATCTTGGTGTTTTGGAGCCAGAGATGACCATATTTGGTAGAGAGGCTGGCGTTGTGGAGGAGCAAGGGGTGCATCTGACTGAGACTGAGGACACTATCGGCAGACAGTCTGTCACTCAAGCTATCCCGCCCTTAATTTTGCGTAACTTTAAGCCTTAATAAAATGTAAATGATTGAGTGATATAAAAATTCCCTCCCTGCACGGTGCTCATAACGGAAGAAATTAGCTTTTGAGGCCAAAACAGTTTTTGGACCAGGCTGTAAGTTGGGCATTTTAACATGGGGGTCTATGGGGACTGAGTTGCTTCTGGAGCCTCAAGTGGACGTTCAAAGAACTGCAGTTTGTGGCACTTCATTTTTCAGCCCCACAGGTTGCTGCTTGGTCACAATGCTGGAATGCAGATGTGACTGGCTAAATAGCATTACAGTAGAAGACAAAACATGTACAACTGACTTATGGCTAAGCCCTGCCCTCAAACGCGATGAGCCAATCACAGTGCATATAGTCATTCCCATACACTCGGACATTCTCTGCCTGGACGTTCATTGAAATGCATTACAGAAAGTCAGTTTTGTTCGGTTTTGTGAGCTTTTTCTGAGATTTGAAGTTTATAAATGGTCAAACGGTGGGCATGTGGTACATGCAACTCTGACACAAGGTATCCTGAGAGGCTGGACGACGGGGTGTATTTTTTACACTTTCCTAAACCACATCTCAACCGAGAAAAGTGTCTCCTTTGGATAAAGTTGTGCGGTAAGGTTAGAACACAACATCAACTCAACGTGAATAAGATTAACAAGGATGTCTACATCTGTTTTAAGGTAAGTCAACATTGTGTTTGAGGCAACATATTGTCACTTTGCTGGAAAGAAATATAAAGTTATCTTTAACATCTCTAGCTAACGTTAGCTAAAGTTAGCCTAAAGTTAGCTCCTAGCTGCATTGTTCATCATGTCACCTTGTTTGCTGGGAGTTCATTAGCCTATTTTGTTCTAGTTTTTGTACTTTGGTGATCGTACATCATTGTTAGCTGTTGTCCAAAGGGCTCTAGTTAAGCTAACGTTAACTTCTGGAGCTTAGCTTCATTAACAATCTGTAATCACAGAGATAACAAAGGTTGGCAAACGTTATGCTGAATGATTCAATGTAAATACTGTAGCACCAAACTAACGGAGAGACACTCTTGGTAAAGATGGTAAAAAGGCCGTTATCCTTTTCTCATATTCTGAGCCAAAAACCTTAACTTCAGTGGCACTTTATCTTGTTGTTTTTGATGGCGACGGCAGTGAGATGTGTTTCACAAGCGTACACTGTGACCTGTAAATTTTGGCTTGTAATTTAAGCTTTTCATTGACCTTCTCAACAATAAAATGATGAATATATCCCTCCAATGCGTAGTTTAGGCCCTTTTGGTTACTTCTCAATGACATCTTATCGTTATGTCCCCAAAAAACATCAATTGCCTCCTGCGAAATGCTTTGTACTGTGACACCTGCCATAGCGTCGGTCACTGAATGCTGATATTTTGTCCGAGTGAGTGTAGGGGGGCGTGGCTTAGCCGTAGGTCAATTGATCTGGGAGTTTCCTTGTCTGTTAAACCACAAACACAAATGACACAAATGCTGTGCCAGTTAAAATAGAAACACTAGGTCAAAATTTAATAATTCTTTATAATTTATCAATTAAAGGTTTCAGTCCAGATAGAACGGCATATGGTTCCACAACCAGGGGAAAGAAAGGGATTGCAGGCCAACAAGGGCGACAAATTTTGGCCATTTCGCTTACAAGTGGGATGGTGTCTCTCCTTGTACCCCTCAAATCACCTACTGACTCTGTTTCAGCTTCTTAGCAAGTTCTTTATGGGCACATCAGCTGAAAACAGAAAGCTATCAACACTTTTTAGATGTTTCCAAATCATATTGCCTTCCTTATTTCAGTTCCTCCTACTGCACCCGCACACATGGGCAAGGATTGAGGGGGGAATATTTAATCACAGATGCTTCTTTGTGTTTCTCTGGGTGTTTATGTCTATCTTACCTGTCTTACCTGCGCTGGCTACAGTGTTCTCCTGCTTGCACTTCCCAATGGTGATGGACACATCATCAATGGCAATATCCCCCTCGAAGCTCGGGCCTCGAATTCCTTCAAACACAATCTGTTTAGGGAAGACACAAAAAGACAGAAGGATGCTGGGTGAGTAAAGTATATACAATATATTGTGTATCTGGTGAGGCAAAAACACAGCCGCTGCACTGCTCAAACAAACTTGATTCAAACGTAACCAATGAGGATTTCTGTCTAAGTAACAGTTCTTACAACAAGTAAATAAGATAACAATGTTTTCCATATATTTTAACATCTAAATAAAAAGGAAGTGTAATAGTGAGACTCTTTCAATTCAGATAGAGCATAAAAAATCTCAGACTGGTCAAATGAATGAATTAAATGGCAATGCATTTGTGATTATGCTGAAACATTAATTAAACAAACAGGAGAGATAACAATATGCATACTCTTCGGTATTAAGTATGCATACTCTTCGGTATTAAGTATTTAGAAGTTGCGTTCTTATCCCATAATCATTTGTGAACTCACAACAACAAAACCAAACAGGAGAGTCATCTGAAAACTTTCCAGGCGACTTCCCCATCTTAGCCACCAGCCATCTGGTTTTGACTGACAGCCTAATTACTGTGGTGTACCAAGGCACCCAGCTAATCAAAAACCAAGCGTATTCTGTGTGGAATATGGGGAGGAAAAAAGCAAATAAACAAGGAAACTTTGTTGCTCTGAAATAACAACAAGGCAACTCTCACGACTGTAGTTGTTATTGGCTTTAACTGCAGACTTTGGAGCTTTGTAATGTTTAATTTAATATATGATAGTCGAAGTGCTCGCTGTGTAATGATGTCTGAGGGATTTTCAATCCTACAGTAATAATGGCTCATTTGATCTGTTAAGTGGTTTCTACAGAAATGCGCTCCATACTGAAAACGGTGCTTGGGCTGGCACATATAGCAGTGTTTTCATCTGCCATCCAGCCCCTGAGCAAGGCACTTAACCCTTCAAGCTATTCCAGACATATACGGGAGCATATGTGACTGTGTGTATGAATATGATGCTGCTGGAAACACTGCCTGCATATATGTCTGTATACATACAGTACATAACAGAGAGGGAGCAGGTGCATGCATGGAGGGGCGCCAAATATGCATGACTGGCCACCCTTTAAGATCTCCATCTGTTAAGACCAATGTGCCCTGCCAGATTATCAACAGAGTATTTACAGTAACTCAGTAAACAAGCAGAATGGACCTGCCATCAATTTGTGTGTAAATATATCAAGCTGCTATACGAAGTGGGGGTTCACTTAACCCAGTTCTGACACGCCAAGGAGACAATCTGACCCAACTTCATGATCTGAGTCAATAAAAGGTGGAGAATGGCGGAGCAAACACCACGGTAACCATCTTGCACTGCATGGGCACTCTATTACCTGTGTTTTAATCTGCAAGTGTTGCTGTTGGTGCCAAACAGCGATGTCAGTTTGACATATCAAACAGAAATTCACAGGGCAGATACCTATAACCTATTCATTGCCACGGACAAGGAGCAGCATGGCTGTGTGCATGTGAAGTAATTTCTCCAGCTCACCTCTGCAGCGTAATCTTGAAAAGCCAAGTTAAAGATGCATAAAAAAAGGATGGTGGAAATTGATAATTCTTTAAATGTTCCTAGTTGGCTCAACCTCCTGCTCCGTTATGCTAGCTCTTCCTCAAGAATCGTCAAATATTTTTCGCCTGCCTGTGCGACCTCTGCCGCAGTAATCAGCACACACTACAGGGCACGCCCTAATTCTTCTTCTAACCCCCAACAAACTTGCAGATGTGCATATACACAAGTAGCCTTAATAATTTGCTGCTGTTTCTCTGTGTCCCGCACTGTCCTCCAAATAGAGAGCTCAATCAGTTACATTCATAAAGGGGAGAGAAACAAAAGCAGTTCCACCACTTTCCCACTTGCTTTCCAATGTAGCCCCGAGCCAGAGATCTTCTTTGAATGAATAAATAAAAATAATTAGTAGAACCTTGAAACTGATTGGGTGGTATGGAGGGAGAAATAAAGGAGGTGCAGCAGCACAGGCTGAATGGGTTTAGCTGGTCGGCTCATTTGTGCAAAAGGGTTATTTGAATTACTAGGCTGAGGGTAGCTGTGAGGGAAATTATGGGGTAGAGGGAAGAAACTAATTGGTCAAAAGGCCATGGTCGTCTAATTTATAAATGCCACAGTGCTGAATCTTCAGTGTGTGGCTGTGTTTAACATTTTTTTTTATTTATGTGCTTTCTTCAAGTCCTATTCTCTGCGTAAACTCTTGTCACTAATAGAACCAGTGCAGCACACGACGGGATCCCTGTAGGCAACATCAAACACACCTACAGTGGCACTTACCTGGAGCTATGCATGCCTGCCTCTGTGCAGCCGCAAGCACGACTGCATTAAATGAGTCGAAGCACAGACACCAGATTGTTGTATAATTAGACAGGATGAGAAAAATAATTGGGAGAAGGAAGCCCAGAGTCTATAACACCGGCCTTGACACACAAATATGCAGAACAACAGCACAAATAACCGACCTCCTACATAACAACACGATCGCACCGAGCATAATAATTTAAGAAAAAAGATTAAGATATCAAACAGAATGGCACAACACAAAGCAATGCAATATCCTGCCATGCAATGCAGGATGGCAACACAGTCATTCCTAGTGTTTATTTTTTTCTGGAAAGGCTCAGGTAAACAGGCCTGTGCCCTTTCGCTGAATGTTCACTGCTGACAGATGAAGCTGAAGTGTGAGTGGCGAGTGCCAGCAGTGCCTCTCACTTAAACATCACTGCTGGGCACTGTGCTGAGGTGAAGTATATCTTGAGTTTCTCAACCATGGGAGTGACAAGGTTACGTGACACAGGGTCATGGAAAATTTCAGGACCAATACTGACAACTAATATCTGTCAGATATATTTTAGTTAAAAAGATCAAGTATATAAGGTGCGGTATTTCATTATTTTTGTATAGCCAGTACCAGAAGGAGAATACCAAAGAATTCTGTTCTTAAAGGTCCAGTGTATAGGATTTATGGGTATCAACTTAAAATGAGAATATCTGTCTCTTCATAAGTAAGAGCTGTTTATATCCACATAGGGAGTGGGTCATCATCTATGGAGTTTGCCATGTTCAGCGCCATGTTTCTACAGTAAACCACAATGGATGAACCAAACACTGACTCTAGATAGGGCCATCCGTGTTTTCGAATCAGCCACCATAGAGGCAGCCTTGTGACATGAGCATTGGGAAAACACTGATTTTTTAAAATGTGAAACTGTTTTATCACTGTTTTTTTTTTTTTACTGATTTCAATCAATGGGTTTGTTTGTTTTAGAGAGTAAGAGACATCTGTGGGTAATTCAACTCATGCTAAAAACCTCCTAAATGATGAACACTGAAGGAATCATAACCAGTAGAAGTTTCAGCTAGCTGCAATCTGCAATCCTTACCACTAGATGCCACCATATCCCCCTAAATCTTCTACACTGTTCCTTTAAATTTACATGACAACTTGGACATCTCTCTAAGTGCTAAGGGTCATGAGAATGTGGGATGTAAAAGTGGAGTCACAGGCCATAAAAGGCTGATGCTATATCTAATGTGCCTGACATTTAACTATGACATTTACAAAATACTCAAAAAAAAAAAAAAAGCATCACACTGTTTTGAAATGGTAAACTACAAAAAAAAATATATATATATGAGTAGAAATCTTAGTTCCTGTCATAAAAGTGTACAGTGTGACATGGAGAGTATGTGTGAGGAGGCCTGAGTGAAACAGACAACTTGTGTGTGTGTGTGTGTGTGTGTGTGTGTGTGTGTGTGTGTGTAACTGCAGGATCAAAGGGTGTTCAGTAAAGTGTCAGGTTGGTGTTGTGAATGTGTCGTTTTGTCGAGCCTTGTAACCTTTAATGTTCCCATTGATGTGCTGTCCATATACCAGAGGGGACACAGCCGTGAGAGAGCGAGAGAGTGTTTGTGTGTGTGTGTGTGTGTGTGTGTGTGTGTGTGTGAGAGAGAGAGAGAGAGAGAGAGAGAAGAGAGAGATGTACAGAGACAGCTTTGAAATACTGGTGCATGAGAGACTCGGTGCAGTGTGAGGCACACAAATGTGGGTTGGCCTGGTTTCCAACAAGCCCCCCAGGTACCAAACACTGCGAGGAACACAGATGGCCTCTGGGTAATCCACAGAGGAGTGAGTAGGGACACAAATAATCTACTACAACATGTTACCTCTTTTTTTTCTCCTTTGTAACTCCATTGATTTTTATGTGTACATGTAATTTGTGCTTCATAAGTTGATCTCAGTGAACAAGCAGCTACGAAGCCAATTCACTCTGATTATTTCAGATCTCAGACAGGAACGTGATTGGCAAGACTGCAGAAGTGAGACAGATGGTGGTTCTATGGAACAATAAAAACATTCAGCAGCAGCAATCGCTACAGATATAATGATTGACATTTTTTAAATGTGTATGGGCAGCTCAAACAAAAGTGTTTAGTTTTCCCTAAAGATGCAATGAACCGAAATCAAGAGCAGAGGAACTCATATAGTGGCAGTTCACATTTCATGAATTCACAACTTGAATATACACAGACAGTAATCACGGCCAGCAGGCAGTAAACAGTTTAAATTCTAATGCTCCCTTATCGGTTGGCTCTACCACTGTTTACAATAAAAGCCTTGTATTAATGCAAGCCATCGGCTTGGCTACAGCTCTTTGAGAGAGGCAGGAAGGGAAGCTGTTCTCAAAGACATCATTACTTTTGTTGGGCGGAGCACAAAGAGAGGGGAAATGCAGAGACGAGTGGCAGCACCTCAAAGGCCTTCGGTGTATGCAGTCAGTGAGCTGTGCACAGGACTAGAAAGTTTGTGTTCTCCATGGACACGCTCTCAACATGAAGCAGAAATGAAACAAGCATCAATATGCAGTCGCTCCTGTACTCTTCAGCTGAATTAGAAAACCATATGAATGTTGTTCAAAGGGGAAATTAAAGAAAAAAAAATAGATAATGGACAAAACAAGGTTATCGCTGTGTTTTTTTTCC